GAGGTCTATGATTATGGGGTGTCATATCATGTGATCGATGACCATCATGCTCGAGGTACATTGACCGAGGAGGGAAGTCATAATTGATGGGAACATATCCTCGGGATTAATGCTCGGGTTGTAACAAATAACTGGATAATCAATCCTAATGATTTCGAGGAGTTCGACTTCGGATCGAGAGGTGGTGGTGTGATGTTCCATTGTTGAGTTTGAAGTTGAAATTCCATGTAAAGCTGAGAGCTCCCAGTGCCAAGTTTGTCAAAATGAATAAAAATCTCAACCTTTTCCCTTTTTTTTTTCTTCTTTTTAATTTTCTTGATCTGAGTTTTGTTCTTTAATGTTGTTTGATTAAGTGAACTTGGATATGACAACGAGATGCGTTTTTTCCTTTGTGGTGTTATGATTTGTTTGAATTTACATTTTTTGGTGATTGCCGACACTGTGGGTGGTCGTAGTGTACATCGAGATGGTAGAATTGTATGGTGGTTGTAGATTGTAGGCAAAGGTGAATGTGTATAGTGGTGATGGTGGTTATTTCCTTAGATTTGGCTCGTCGGTTTGGTGATGGTGTTGATTCTGTCGCCTGAACTTAGCTTCGCTCGTCGATTTTGATTTTTCATTTTGATTCCATTAGGCAATAGGGACCGTGGATTTGGTGGCGGCGAACGGCGCCCAACTATGGATGACAATGGGTAGTAAGGTTTTGGTTTTGGGGAGGGATAGGGATAGGGATAGGGATAGGGTGTAGGGGTAGGGGTAGGGGTAGGGGTGGGTGGGGTTTGGATGAGGGCAGGAGTGGAAGATGATGATTAATTTTTTATTTAATTATTTTAATTATTATTTTTATATAGAAAGAGATAAAATTACCATTTTACCCTTGTAGAAATAATTAATAATGTGGTCAAAATCATTTTCTTAGTCAACTAACGGAAAAATTAGATGGATTCTATCCATTTGGATTTCAAATGCATATTTTTGAAATGTTAGAGGTTTTCGCTGACACAAATTGAATGTTAGAATAAAGTCTGCAAAAATTG